AAGAATATAAAGGTGGATGGAATATAAACTATTATTAAGTTTTTGTATAGAATGGGTTTTGAAGAAATACAGTTTAAACAAATTTAATAAAATTAAACAAATTTAAAAGTTTTAAATAAAAAATATATATCTTTAAATTTTGATAGTAAACAAGTTAAAAAAATGTCCATCATTATACAAAACACTATATGTGTTACAATAATAATATATGTATGTTACAATAATAGACAAGACAAGAGAGAGAGGGAGACGAAAAGAGAGAGGGAGACGAAGAGGAAGAGGGAGAGAAAGAGTGAGAGAGAGAGAGAGAGTCTTCTAAATTGATGAATTTATTGACAATTAAAAAATTTTGACAAATATTTTGACAACAATATTATTGGTTTCAACAACGCATTCATATTTTGCATAATGCTTATTATTATAATTCGAAGAGCCCCCGACAGACGTTTAAAATACCATCGCTGAAAGCTTTATATATATAATGTAATTGTTATTAATTTTTATGTAATGCAACAAATTTAAAATGAAATGAAAATAAAGCTAATAATACTACTACTACTACTACTAATTATAAATCCAAGATACAATAATAGGCCTATAAGATCTATTATGTTATTTCTAGAGAGAGTCTCCTAAACCGATTCAGAAAATTAAAAACTATTGAGATATGTAACGATAATTATATTGGTTCCAACAATATGTCCATATATCGCCTAATAATTCGAGATTTGAAATCTATTCTGTTATTTATAGATAAACTATTTCAAACTTATCCAGACAATTTATCAATTTGCAAATTTAGCAATACCTTTGTTCAAAATTTCATACCTCATTTGGTTCGATCAAATCGTGCTAGAGGTGCAAATAAGATAGTCGATATTTTTTAGTGCGATTTTTGAATTATTATTATTATTAGTAAAAGAGGCATTAATACACTACGACCTTTAAATTCTATTGTGCTATTCCTAGAGAGAGACTCCTACATTGATTCAAACAATTAAAAATTGTTGACAAATTAAACAATATTATTGGGGTCCATATAATGATTATATGATTAATGATTTGAATCCTAATCATTATCATTATTGTTTAATGATACAATAATATAGTACGACCTATGAAATCTATTTTGTTATTTATGAAAAAACTCTTTTAAACTAAACTGAACAATTTAGGACTATTGTCTAATTTAACAATATCTCTTGATTCAAAACCTATAACTCATTTGCTTCAATGAAAAGGAAATGGAGGTGCAGATAAGATGGCTGGAAGTTGTATTTAACATTTTAGAGAATTTGCAGATATCTATATTTTAAACTTGAATCTCTACCAACAATATCAAAGAATTTCTCAATAATTTGTAAAAGTATTGTAAAGTATAGTTCATTTTTTGGATGCTCACTACGTGGTTCATCTTCAACGCTTGTACGCTCACGTTAAAACTCTAAAATCCATCGATGCATAGTTGGATATTAAGGAGCAGATTTTTGTACGACATTTGCCATTTTTGTATGAATTTCTGTTGCAGGTAAACATTCTAGAACAAAGAACTTAACCATTGCATGATATTAGGTTTTTTCCAGTGTGACAAAATCACCCATATGTCAGCTTCAAAGGGCTTGTAAAAAAAGTGTTTTCACATAAAAAATGAAATGTCAAAATGGTGTATAAATTTTGATGTTTCCACCGATTAATAGGCATTGCTTTCAAAACTTTTCAACGAACGTGTATAACTAGTTCGTATAATGAATAAAGAAATATGTTGACGGTTACCGAGTTTGTTGCATGTTATCTATAATATCTATAAAATCAATATAATATCAGTGCGGGAATGGACCCTTCCCAAACTTAGTAATCAATTGCTTGTTAAGAATGATCTTTATTTGATGATATGCATATATAACCGTTTCTAAGAGATTTATTGTGTGAAAATAGTTAATTTTGGTTTTCAAAAAATTTAAATAAAATAATTTTTCGCAAATTTGTTTCTACTTATAAACATTTACAACTCAGCATGTAACAAATTCTGCATCCGTTAGCAGTTACAGTTATTCTTTCTAATTACATTGTTTTTTTTTTTGTTTTGCTTTAGTGGTAATATGATACGTATCTATTTAAGTTTTGTTAATATGTATGTATGTATATGGTTCGTATCGCATATTCAATACCTTTCAATCGACATAAAACTCAATTCAATGAGTAACAACCACAGAAAGGTGTGCCCAATGTTAGATTGATAGGTGCAGGCCAAAACGAGCAGAACTGATAGTAAAAATTTTTACAGTTTTTGTCTAATGCATTAACGATTTCATATATCAAGTAACTACAGTTCAACACTGCATGCAACTAAGCTATATATACGAGTATATATACTCTTGTTTTAACAGATATTTAAGAAGAAATAAAAGAAATAAAAAAAAAATTGTTTAAATCACGTTTTAAGTAGAAAAGTATTTTATTCAACAACAATACTGGTACTCTTGCAGTGGGATATGGAATGGTGACCAAGGCAGAAGCAGAGGACGTGTTATGCCACATAGTCCAAACTGCTAACCTGCAGCAATTTAAAACGTTTTTGACAGCTGCAACAAGCGCAACACAAACACTCAAACGTGAGAGAACCGAATGGGAACCAAATTTCATATGGTGGCAACATTTGATTTGAGCTTTTTAGCCACGTTACGAAAAGTGCAATCAGGTCGTTGCCACACTTCACATTTCACACTTTCAACTTTTTCCAAACTGAAACCCATTTCACTGCAAATGCAATTTGCAACGTTCTTCCACTCTTACGGTTACCGAGTTTGTTGCATTGTTGTAGCTTCTACTTTTGTTAAAATTTCATTTCTTGCGTTTCGTAAAACAATTTTATTGTTTTTTTTTTAAATTTTTATAAACATTTATTTTTTTTTTTATTTTTTTTTTTGTTCTTGCTATATGACAACTTTACACAATCTTAGCCAAACGTGTCGGTTGCAATCACATTTTGTTGCAATGTGCGCTGCGCTAATAGTTTAAATAGTTTCCAGCGCTTACCTACTTGCATTCATACAAGCAGATACATGCATACATACATTGGTGTATATAAATAGCTGCAACTTTTTCACAAATTCGCGTGGCGAAATTGTAATTTCAATTGGTTTTATTTTGTACTTTTCTGTACTTTAGTTGGTATTTCTTTTCCGAACCTCAACCAACGGTTCTTCAGTTTTTCCCCATTTTTTTTTCTCCTTTTAACGTTAAAAATTGTGGTTTCAAATAAGTTTGTGGCTTTTGCGAGTACGAAAACTGAGGAACTGAAAAACTGAAAGACTGTAAAATCATAAAATTGTAAAATTGTAAAATTACATTTAAGGAAAGTAGGTGTTTGCTTAAGGAGTGGAAATAAAATTGAAGTGCACATTTCAAATGACTAAGCATTCTGCTATCTTTTGTTATTAGGTTAGATGAAGGGTTTTCATTGTTACGTTTTCATAGTTGAAGTCAGTTTTGATTTATGCAAGTTTCTGCTATTGGCGACCTTTGCACTTGCCTCATAATTTCCACGTCAACTTCAAATCGCTTTTTCGTTAAGTGAAAGGTAGGTACTACGCTTGTCTGCAGTAGAAAGAAAATAGAAAGTCACAGGCTTAGCAAACTCAAACTCTTTTGGGAAACATTTTGTAATAAATAAACCTTTATTGCATTTCTTCACTTACTTAACAATACGAAATTGTACAGCAATTTAATTACAGGAAACTTGTAACCGAATTTCATGAAATTATGTAAAATTTTCAATTTTCGGTGCACTGAACAAAGTCAAAAACCAATTAGTAATTAATCTTTTGAGAGTAGTTTTCTAAAACGTTACATAGTAAAGATACTATAATTTAATTTTGGATTTCGAAACTATGTTTGGGTTTAAGGTTAAATAATACTTGTATATATTAATGTGAATACTGTACAAAAATACTATCTTACGACAGTAATATTGCAACTTTGTTCAAATTCGGATAGCGTTTCATTTTGTTCTTAATATTCAACTCAAAGTTAGAGATTATTGAAGAGAATTTTTAAAAATAATTTGTAATTCAAAACTATAATATTCGTTATTTTTTTTGCTTTATTGATACTCATCTTATAACCTGCCAAAAAAAAACAATACCGGAAGTATATGAAGTTTGAATTGAAATCCATGGATTTTTAAGAGAAAGGTAGTTTTTTCAACAAAAAAATTTTCAATTCTTTTCGTCAAATTATTGTAGAATTTTTCAATTCTTTTCCATTCATAAGATTTTTCTAAGTTTTCAAAAAAGTTACCGGATTTTCGTCCAGTATTTATGATATATAAATCGAAAACATTCTGTATTTATATACATTTATGAAGTATAAATTAAGAAAAAAATAGAAAATTTGATTTTATTTTAAACTTTAAATTATGCAAAAAAAAGAAAATAGAAAAGAATTTCTTTCAAATTTCAATAAATTTTTCTTACACGCATAAATGCCTTTACAAAGCCTAAAATAATGCTATGAAATTTTTTTATACCTTTGAAAATATTTTTTCTATTTTAGGCAAAAATACCGCCAACATAAAATTAAAATTAATTTTCCTTTCTTTTCTGTATTTTCTGTCTGTCGATTTCTGAAATAATTTTTCTTCTTCATAAGAAAAACTTAAGACGTCTTAATTTATTTTCGTTGTTGGCAAGCCAATTTCGCAATTATTTTTCTTTACCTTGGGTATCTTTTTATGTATATATGTATATATATGTATATATGCGTTGCTGACTATATATGAGAACAGTATATATATATACTTAATGATGGAAAATTATCTTCATTTATACGAATTGTTGTCCTTCGAGTATATGCATATCTTTGCAGCAGACACTGACGTATTCTTGCTAAAATTATTATTGTTATTATTATTACTGCTTTTTTTTTCAAGTTTTGTTTCATTTCTCATCTACGAAACACTGACGAAATAACTAATTTTCTTTTCTTCTTTCAATTTACAGGTTCCTAATATGCCATTGAAAACATCAACGTCAGCGCAAGAAAATGGTTGTTCACCTGCCAACGCAACTAACTCCTCCACCAACACCTTATCATCATCAACTTTGTCAACGTCAACGTCGTCATCATCATCATCATCATCATCATCATCAGCATCAGCATCATTATCATCAGCATCATCATCATCATCGTCATCCTCATCGACATCGTCGTCGTTGTCAATGTCTTCTAACACATCCCCAGCTAATGTACATCGTACAACGTTAGCAACACCAACGATACCAACAGCTGCACCAGCAACGATAGCGGCAAATGCATCGTTGACATGTTTGCATCAGAAACGGTTTTTGGAATCGCAGCAATTACATGCACAACCCTTGGATGCGTTCCTGTCAAGTAATAAAGGTGAGTTGGAATCGTATTTTGGTTTCAGAAACTTCGCAGTTGTGCTTCTGTGTATTATATATATGTATATATATATATAATTTTTTTTTTGTTGTAAGGTTTAAACATTTCACAAAACTGTTGAGAATGTTCCCTAGACTATTAGTGTTGTTGTTGTCGTTGTTGTTAGCGGAAAGGTTAAAGTCTCTGACCAAAGTTAAATAATTTAAGCTTATTTAATTGTAAAGCTAAAACTTTAATTCATTGGATTGAAATTGTTTAGAACTGACATTATAGTTTGTTTGCTTTAGGTGGACTTGTCTTAAGAAACTCTTTTCTTCAACTTATTTAAAATTTTAATCAAGAGAATAAAGAAAAGCGTTAGAGTTATTTAAAGTTGTGTTTTTTGCAGTTAAATTAAATAATAAATAATTTAACTTTAATGACTTTTCATCACATTTCTTAATTAGTGAATGGAAATGTTATGCTGTTTTGAGAAGAACATTGTTTTAAATATAATAAAACTTTTTTAAATATGGGCTATCTTAACATGAAGATTTTTAGGAACATTAGTAACAACATATATATGAATATGAACTACATATATATAATATATATGAATTATTTTAACTCCTAGGAGGAGCATAGAGCTTCATAATAAGTGTACATAATAAATTATAAATGATAAAAATGTGTAGGAATGAATTAGTGAAGTGGCTCTTTTCAACAATGCTTTCTTTTCACTAGGATTTTTTATTTCCTATTCAACAGAAAAAAAATAAAATCCAAACTCTCGTCTATTGTGCAGGATCCCAATCCCTACAAATATATTTCCATATCTGGCTTATTAAGATTCTTTTAAATGCCACTACTTTCCTATTTTATCTCCTATTTTCTTCTATATTCTTTATTATTATTCTATATTCTTATTATTATTCTTATTATTATTCTATTTTCTTCTATATTAGATCTTACTACTCTATATTCTTTTTAGTAAGATCGGGTCTTTTTTAAAAGAACAAGAAGAATTAGATTAGGCTCCGCTGCATATTCCTTGCAAATATCTACCACTCTTCAAACCCTTCATATTTTCTTTTTTTGTTACAATTCCTTCATCTTTTTTTTTATTATATTACTCGCTTAGTTTAGTTTAAAGTATGCTTTTGTACTGGTGTTCTTGAACAAAAAAGATAATAGATATATATTTGAAAACTGTTAAATGAGATCAAACTTTCTTTTTCTACCAAAGGTGCTTCTCCGTTTTCTAGCTATTCAACATCGGTTTCAGTTTCTTGAATTTCACGGTGTCCAGTAACTCAAGATAATGATATTCTACACTGGTTACTCACTGAGTTCACTTAAGTTTTGCATTGTTTTACTGGCTTTTATTATGTACTTACTATAGTTGCATAGCGTGATTATAATAGCTCTACAGTAGAAGATAATTGCTTACTCTTAGTTAATTAGTTGAGTTGGAGGGCGGAACGAATGCTTCTTAATTAGCTAAGAAAGCCATCTTAAGTCCATATTTTTAATAATGCGTAGAGTAATGGAAAGTTCAAACTAGCCAGAAGCGTTGATGAATGCAAGTACCTAATCAATGCTATTATTGCAAATATTACTGAGCGTGTTAAGGAAGACGGAACCCAAAGCTTAAGCTTGGTTTTGTACAAATTTGAACATAGATAGAGCAATTGTTCTTACGTTTTCCTTCAAGCGCGGATAGATATGTGTTGCAATCTTACATTTTTATAAATTCTTCTCAGAAATCAATCGATCTGTCCCTTTTATAGCAAAAGCTTCAGTTTGGAAGATGCTGTACGGGCTTGTAGTGTAAAAGGATCTCTTAAATATTTTTGAGTTAAAAATATCCTAGCGCCTATTCCACATTCCATCGTCAAACGATCCGTGAAAATATGATTATACCAAATGGAACATGAACTTAATTGAATTTAATTTTAATTTTGATAAAAATATATCAGCCAGTCATCGGGTTTTATTAGTTCAATAATTAACATATTAAAATCCTTTATATTATACATATGTATAAAATAAACAAATATTATTTTTATTTACATTTACTCTTCATTCTCTTCTATTGTTGTCTCTTTAAAAAAAATACTGAATATTAAGTCTTCAACCACAACCGAAAAAAAAAAATATAAAAAAAAAAAATTGTTTATCCTGGCAATTCCTTCTAAAATTTTCATGATTTTCATGAAGTTAATGCTTTATTTATTGTTTGAATTTTCAGTGTGCATTGCCTTTGGTTTATTTTTCTGCTTATTTTTCGAATAAATAAACAGAAATACAAATAATATATTTTCGTTGGTGTGTTCTCGGTATATGAAAGCTGATTTAAACGAAAATACTCTGAAATCCTTGTGATTACGGTACTTCATTTTGTTACTGTTTTGCTTATTGTTTTTTGCTTATTTAATGTATTTGCATTTATATTTTTGCTGACTTAATACAATAAAAAATAAAATAAAAAAAAAATGAAAAATAAAAATTGAATTCATGCAGTGGAAGAAATGGAAATTGAAATTGAATTTTTAAAAATAATTATGTATATATAATGAGTTTGTTTTTTGTTTCCTTGTGCTGTTATATAGATACAATCATTTTATTAAATAAAGATAGAAAGTTTAATCTTAAAGTCACAATTTTAAAGAATGACTTGATGTACTTACTTACTCTGTTTGCCCCTAACACTATAGATGTTATAGATCGCAGTATGTCATTCTCTTTTGTAAAAGTGGGTTCTTACAAATGTGTATCGCTTTTGGTCGAGTCTAGTATCGTTCAGCCTGTTTAGCGATTTACCGACGCTAGTTAACAGTACAGATTTTGGTATAGTATCAGAACCATTTTTCGGCAAAGAATTCCTATCATTGTTGGATCAACAATAGCTTTGTGAGTCTGTTCATAAGAGAAAATGAACAGGAGGGAAATAACTCCTGCAAATTTTTGATGGACTTTATGAAAGAACCTGATGGGAAGTCAGCAAAATTTTGTTACGTCAATGACAAATACAAATTAAAATATATATTCAAAATCTATGTAATTAAAAGAATAATAAATAACGTAATCAAAGGAAATTATACATATTTTAATTTTCCCAAAGTCATCGGTGACAAAGTAAGATTTATCGCAAAGACCGTTTATTCCAAAGACCGTTTATTGCAAAGATCAGCCGTTGAATATACCTCTGCAGATAAGAACAAACAATCTGTGGCGTTACAAACTAAAGAGATAGAATTTCGAGGTACTTATCGGGATCCTTACAGCATACAACACATGATGACAAAGATTTTCACAAATTCAGTATATCACTGTTGTCTTGAGAATGTGGACAACTCAGAGCTCTCATTTTTTCTATTTTTGTCCAGCATTTGGAAAAATCCGACTAAGGCAGTTGGGTTATAATATGCTGGGTGTGAACGATGCCAGTACCTGATCTTTTGTGATGTAGAAATAATATGTTGACAATATAGCAATGTAAAGTAATTCTTTGTGTTTCTTCTTGTATTTTCTGCTTTATCTATATCACTGTGCAGAATTCTATTTCTTTTCCTTGGCACCGTGATCTGTCGACTAAGTACCTTGATCTCGTTTTGCTCCTCAAACAAAAAAAAACAAAATTAATTATCAATATTTTGTAGAATTTTAAAGAAAAAGTTTCTGAGGAATCATCAAATGTTTAATCATAATTGCGCAATAGGTTTACTTGACATGTAGAAGTGGGGAGAAGTGTTGTGGAACTCAAGCCCCATAATGCAATGTGAAATTTATTTTATTGTCCATTAAACATTTTCTTGAGGAATTGTACTTACATCCACTGTTTAGTTCCTCTTTCTTCACCGACTATTTTTTGTTGTACTTTCTCTCAGCTCTGTCCCTTATTTTCCCTTTGTTACGTCCCAACATTTACA